ATATATGTATATATATTTATTTATTTTTTACATGTCTATTTCAATTTTCTCTTTTGTTATCAAAGACTTCCACTCTGTATTTACTTGCTTTAATTACTTTTGCGCGTGTTTTTGTTTTCTTTCGTCCAGCTTCGAGCACATGGAAAAGCTTTTCGACGCATTAGCTAAAGAAATTGAAAAACAACAACAAATTGCAAAAAGAACTTTCTTTCTGCTGCTGTCAGTTATCGTTTTTCCTCTGTTCTCTCAATTTGATTTTAATCTATTTTCACTTGCCCCATCCCCGGTTGAAAATGCAACTTTAATGGACACAAACAGCAAAACGAAGAAGAAGAAGAAGAAACTCAAAACAAAACAAAAACTACGAAAAGAGCTTTGCTTTTAATAAGCTCTGTTGCTGACGCTCTTCAAGTCGGCTCTCTCGCTCGCTCTCGCTCTCGCTCTCTCTTAACATCTATGTTTTGCGTGGGCTTTAAAGTTGCGCCAGAAACAACACCGACAACAACTACAACAACAACTACAACATCAACAAATAATTAAAATTTGCAGCTTGAACAACTTCTTTTCTTGTTGTTGTTGTTTGTTTTGTTTTCTGTTTTTGTTTTGCATTTCTGTTTAAAAGTGGCTGCGCAGCAGCTGCGACGCTGGCAGCGCCACTGAGACAGGCCACATGTGCCGTTATGTGCCTGTGCAAATGCAATGTATGCATGTATATACATATATAAATGTGTGTGTGTGTGTGCGTCGACTGGCAGCATCCTTGCGAGCAGCGCCACCCAATGCGGCCCATTCAACAGCCACGCCTGTGAGCCACATTGCATGTGCTATATACAGATACATACATATATGCATGTACATATACGTGTGTGTGTGTGTGTGTATGTAAGTATATATGCATGCCTGTGTGTGTATGTGTGTGTGTGAGTGGCATATATAAAATAAAAGTCGCCATACAAGAAAAACTAACAGCGAGGGCAGCCAAAGGGCAGGCACACACACACACACACTTACAACGAGCCAAACTGTGTGCAGAGGCGAATGCGAAATGAGAAGAAGCAGCAGCAACAGCAACAGCAACGGCAACAACAACAACCGTTAAGTTGTCCTGAAGGCAAATGCCGCTACAACGCAGTAAAAGCAGCAGAAGCTTGAGGCAACAACTCTCTCACATTCAACCCTGCCCTCCCTTTGCCGTGCTCCCTCTCCTGCTCTCTCTCTCTCTCTCTCTCACTCACTCTCCATCTGCCACTCTCTGCCTGCCCCACCCATCGCCCAGCGGTCCATGCCCAGGCGTCTGCTCTTTGGCAAGTGCAAAAATTTATCGATTTTCTGTGTGTGTTTTTGCAGA